AGAAGCACACAGACTGGGAAAATACACAGTCGATATGTGAGATACACCAAATACTAAATGAAGAATGGGAGAGAGAGTATGCCGACTTTGCCAGCGTTAAACGCAGAGTATACTGCTCCCCTTTGCCCTCTACCTCAACAAAACCATGGTTCCTAAATAGAAATAAGCTAATAGCCATTGACGCTAAAAGGATCAACAGACCGTGTTGCTGGTTCATTAATGATACGAAATCAAAATTTTAAATTTTTAACCGTCACCACGCTCTCACCTCTCTCTCTAATATTGTCAGCCTGCTATCGATATTTCGTAACTATCGTGTGGTATGGTCGATTGTCGCACATCTCGTTGTTGTTGTTTTGCAGCATTTGTGGTACTTGCGATACTATCGATAACGCATCGCATATAATAATCCACATCAGGTTTAACTTTTTTTAAATTCTTGTGAAACAAATAAATGATTTGGTGAAATACCTAAAAGAACCAGTCTTAGACAGAGCAGACAACTACACCATGAATGGAAAGCAGTTAGTTTTGGTTCTAGCAACCGTCCTGGCGCTGGGCAGCCTACAAGTGGCGGCGACAGAAACAAGCGACAACAAAACCGGGGAGTTTGTGGCCACTAGGGACTGGCAAGTGATCAGCGAAGGTATGTGGGGTATTACGTGTCCTACGCCGACACATTACTAATTCAAGAAGCATTGTCTTGCAGGTCAGGCCATACCAAAGGGCTTGCACGTACGCATTAATTTGCAGACCGGCCTGAAAGAGGCCAAGCTGCTAGACGAGAGTGAACGTGGCACAGCGCTGCAGAGCCAGACGGAGGAGAGTGACAGTGAACCGATGGCCCTGGACTACAAGAAAGATGTTGCTGAGGCGGCGCAGCGCCACGCCAAAGAGTACGTGGAGTTGCGCAAGGCCTACAAGGAGTTCCAGAAGAATTTTCGCACCGATGGCGAGCTGATTGTCCAACTTATTGGACAGTACCGAAACTTCAGCAAGAAGCCCCTAGAGTCTGAGCTGAAGACCAAGCTGGACGCGCTGGAAAATCTCGAGTTTTTGCTTCACCAAATCGACAATGCCCTGGTGTTCATCGACAACGGCGGACTGGATGACGTGTTGCTGCCCATCGTGGTCAACGACACGAACACGGCGCTCAGAGTCTCCGCTATGCGTGTGCTGGGCTCCCTGACGAGCAACAATCCCAAGGCGCAGATCAAGGTGTTTGAGAAGAGCTTCGGATCGTATCTGTCCCAAATACTTATGAGCTCTACAAGCTCGGCGGAGATCTCCTCGGCGTTGCATGCCTTTGGGGCGCTGCTGCGAAAGTTTCCGCTAGCCCAAACGCGAGTCCTCTCCACATCGGGCACACAGGCGCTGATTCGTGTGCTTCGCAGCCCGGACATGGAACTGCGCAGCAAGGGCAAGGTGGTGACGCTCATCAGTGATTTGGTGCTGGAGAAGCGTTCGGTGCTGGAAGGCAGTAAAGACACGACGGATGCTGCTTCGTCCTTCGCTCAATATGTGCTCATCGAGTTTGAGTCTTGGCTGGAGACGCAGGGCTACTGCACAGCATTGGATGATGTGCTAGCGAAGGACTTTCTGCACTTGCTGGACCAGCCCGAACTGGTGGAGCAGTTCTCCACGGCCATCTGGACCACGCAGAGTATGTGCCACGTCGTGTGGTCGCAAAGCTCGGCCCTGCGGCATGCCCTGCTCACGATCCGCAATAGATATGCCAATAGCAAGGATGAGTATCGTCTGGAGGTGTCACAGGCACTGGACAATATCTGCAAGAGACTCTACGACAAGCCGAAGCACACAGAACTGTAGGTGGACAGACAACATTCTCAGAAACGTAGCCAATTTTAGTTGTATGTATTTAAGTCTATATTTATTTAAGTTGATTTGAATGCAATTCGAACGCCAAATCGTAGGTCTCCAAATATGTTTAGGTTAAGTCTGAGGATACTTTTGTTACACACACATACACACAGTTGCCAAGTACTTGTGATGCGCACAGAATGCTCTTGATGTGAATATAGAACTGGTCATAAAGTTCGAGATTTCAAGATCCATTAGGCAGCCCAATCAACGCGACAGTCCAGGTCAACCCCCTGTCAACTAATCGACTTTCCCCTTATAGTAAAAACTTCCTTCAAGACCCCCCCACACCCCACTTAAAGGCGTACCTAATCGACCTGCTCATAAAGTAAGTCAACAGTATGGCCTGCCAGGGTGGCGGCAAGAAAACCAAAAACCCACTGAAAGCATGTCCCAAAAAACTACTTGAAAGGAACTACACGAAACTGTACAGGAAAGCCACTTTTAAAAGGGAAGGGCGAAAGGGATTGTGAGAGAGTGCAATTATGTGCCGCCTGCGACGTCCAGCTCCAAGAATTACAGCAATTAACGGGGCATCCACATGCAAATGCAATGTCACTGAGCTGAGTCACGAAACGGCAACTGGAGGGAAAATGGCGAGAGAGAGAGAGAGAGTGAGGGAGAACCGGCACCTAGGGAGAGCATGAATGCCGGCAGTGTTGGGACGCCACTTGCTTCGGTTGTCATGGCAAAAATGCAAGGTAAACAGAGAGAAAGAGAGTGAGAGAGAGTCTTGCACACACGATAAGGTGGAAGGGGATGGTAAAGCCCCGCCAACCACTCGAGCATAACGAAAGCCCAAGTGAACAACTGAGAATTGAATGAGCAAGTTGAGCAGGTGCGAGAGCCTGGACTCTACAAAGGTGGTAGGGCCATAGGGTGAGTGCTTATGTGCCACTGCGATCATTACGATCATTTGCTACTTGTTTGTGGAGCATGGAATACCTCACACCTCACCAACTTGTATCCCGTGGCTGCCACTTTGCCATCAATTTGGCCGTTGATTGAGATGAGCTGGGGCGCGTGCGCCATGGAGTGATTCTAGTTACTCCGTCGCACTTCGCCCGTCCCGTCGTCTTCGTTGCTGCTTTCCGTTTCTTTTGTGCTTCTTTTTGTGGTGTGTTGTGTGTGGATGGATGGCAAAGAGGAGCTTAAATCGAAACGCTTGACGAGTGATGTGGAAACATTTTCAACGCAACAACAACACAAACAGCACGGACGTACCGAGAGAGTGGCTTCCACTCACCACCATCATTCGGGAAACGGCACTCGGTACTCACATGTGTGTGCATAAACTTACATACATACATGTGTATGTATGTGTGAGCATAAGTCCGAACGGAACGCAACGCACACCGGCTGGCTGGCTGGCTTCACTTTACAGGCTGTTGCTGTTGCTGTTGCTGCTACTCTTTCTGTTTGCCTCGCCTGGTTGTTAGGGCCATCCAGTGCTCGGCTCATTCCCTGCTTGTGGCAACATTATGGAAAATCAGTTTGTGTTTGGATCGTGATGAGCTCGTGCGGCGCGACGGAGTGGTAGCAAAGTGCTTCGCCTGGATAAATCTCTTAACTTTAATACAAACTCTAAACTCCAACTCTGTGCAGTGTGTGCCCATAATGGCAGTGAAAAGATGAAGCATTTATTTATACTGCTAAAAGGAGTAATGCATTAAGGATAAAGTGATTCCCCTATTTAAAAGATATATTTATCTGTGACTTGTGCAAAAAGGTTATTAGTGAAGGAAGAAGCAAACATTCCAGAAACTTATTTCAAATAATTCTACTACGCATCCTTCCCACTGAGCTGAAGAGTTTTCTGATTTCTTACCTTTTTTTTATTCAGAAACTTGCTAAAATTCCCAAAAAACTGTTCCTTGAAGCGGGCCCTTTCCACTGGACAACATAGAATGGAACTGACACACCTTCTCTGAGCGTAATTCGAAACAAATATATTTTTAAATCTTCAAACAAATTTGTACAAAACAAACAAAAAAACGGATTTTATTCCCTTAAATTTGCTTTGCCCAATGCCTCATCTCCATTAAGTTCCTCGAACTACAAATCAGGGGCGGCGAAAACTCGTCGCTTGTGGAATGAATATTGGAAAATGTAAACGTTTTTCCACAGGTGAATGACTTTTTTGTGCGCTTCCGCGAGTTTCCGGTCAAAAAACCGTTTTCATTTTCGCTTCCAATAGCCAACGGCGAACGGCGAACGGCCAACGTCCAACCGGCCAGTGGCTGATTTGTATGCAAATGTTTGTCTGCGCCCCCTTGCAGCCATTCATTCCGTGCAGCACCACCCCACCACCCCACCACCACACCATACGCTCACACTTTCCCCAAAGTGCCCACCCTGCCTGTGGCATGCCATAAATCCTGGCCATAAGGAAGCTACTTTAGCAGGGGGACAGACAGGCTAAAGTGGCGCCTGAAATTCTTGTACGATTGTGGACGGAACGGAACGGAACGGAACCAAGGAAACAACTACAAAAAACTATTTAACAGGCGGTTGGGTTGGTTGTTATTGTTATTGTTGTTGTTGTTGTGCTTGGTGGATGGTTGGCAAAATGCCGCCAATTCCGTTGGTGGCAACAACTAAGGCAATGTGGCAACCGACCCCCACGACTCTGAGCTGAGGTGACATGTGTGCGACATTTGTGCCACAAGCAAAAAAAGACAAAGCGGAGCTTGAAGAAGGAGACCCCCCTCAACGCTTCGTATGCTTAAGATGAAGAATAACTGCGAGGAGGGAGGCTCTCGGGTTGGGCTAATGTTCCAGTTGCTTTGGTTTCTGTGCCAAAGTGTTTTTCGTCTATCTAATAATCTTGTAATAATCTAGAAGACTGTTGTGCAGATTCTGGTTACACCTACACCTCCTTCCCCATGTGGAATGATACTCAACCATTTCCCCCCTTTCCGCTATTTACAGAGCACACAACAAAAGAAAACCTCACCATAAATTCCATTAGAGAACGTTTATGTAGAACATCGCAGATAATAAGCTAATTTATAGGTGTCAGAAAAAAGGGAAATATAAACTGCAATAAATAAGAAACTTAAATTATGGCAAGTGCAAAGGAATTGCAAGAAGTGCACAAGGATCGATAGGGAAACAAAAAGTGAAAACTGTATGTGTTTTATGTGCAGCTAAAGACTTGGTTAATGCTTTAATTGGAATACAATTGAAATTGCGGAACAAAATGTGGATAAAAGAACATTGGATATGCTACCTGATTGGCGTCTTCTGCTGGCTTGATAAGGGTAAGTGTTTGGGATTGATTACATTATGCCTTAATTCATCTTTCTTCTTACTAGAGTGGGAATGGAATTGGTTGGGGGTCTTGGCATACCTTTCCCCTTGGAATGTCGGTTGAGTAACAGTCTCTGACGATTGCGTTGTGTCGTCTTTGTTAATCGAAAACAAACAAAGTAATTAACCGCATGGAACACTCGAAAGTAAAAACCGAACGCTGAAAAATAGTGAAATTCCTATCGCGAGAGACTCTCAATAAATTAAACGCAAAAAGAAAAGTCAGGCTCGGCAAAACTTAGACGTCAAGCGACGTTCTGGTCCAACGATTTATGACGAATAAAAGTTTTTACGTGACTTACTTGTATCGCAAGTGGAAAGACCCTGCTGGGGCAGCTAAGATAGTTTCAAGTAATGCCCCCGAGGTAGTTGATCCAGTTTGAAGTTCCATTTAGTGCATTAATTTCGGTTCATTACATTGTCATACATCAGCGATTGCTTCCCCGGAGAGAGAGATTCTTTGCGCATTCCGAGTGCTCTGCTTTTAATGGGGAAATTGGGGTTGTGGGGTTGTCACAGTTCAGGTTCTGCCTTAACGGTTCTGCCTGTCTTACTGCTTGACCTGTGCCACAAAAAGATTGATTGCGAAATGCTTAGCCTTACCCATATGCCGATGCTTATGATGTTTAACCAGACAGAACTCACTCGCAGCTGCCACATATGTGTATGTACGTGTTCCCCCTCTCAAAATATATCTACAGTACATATGTGTATCCATCCCCCCAAAAGTCAGTGGCCCAGACCGAGGAGTTTGACGTTTCGTTTCGTTCATGGAAATCACCAAGCTGAACGGTTTTTCTTTTATCTTTCTTTTTCTTTTTTTTTTTGGAAAACCAAAACAAACCGAATGAAAATTTGTTTTTTTTTTTAACTTTGCCTAAAACTTTTGTGTTGCGGTGTTGTGTCTCTGTCTTTTATTCATATTCATATTCACCTACTCTGGATAAATAAATTTGTACAGCTGCAAACTCACTTTCATTTGTTCAACACACAACCCACGCCCGTCCTACCTCCCTACACCCACTCCCCATCCAAAGTTTTTGCGAAAACTAAACAGAACTTATGCAATCTGCGGCTGGAGTTGGAGCTTTGTCTTTAATCTCCAGTTTATTTGTGCAGAGCTTCACGGATTTCCGCTTGAGATGTTTGCACTTTATGGATGGGTTTTTGTGTTTTTGCGTTTTTGCGTTTTTGGAACCCGCTCTGTTAGTCGATGGCTCTAATTAGTTTTTGGGTCTTTTACATAAAAAAGGGGATTACACAAATGCAACCGCCACTAATTAGCGGCACAAGTAGAGTTACCAAATCAAAACTTAGCCTGCCAAGTTCTCTACTCTACCCAAAAAACTTTCCATTTTCTTCCGAAAGTATTTCATCCTCTTGCCAGTTTGAGTGCGACCCGTACGTGAGCTATCAGCACACATCTTTGAAAAAATCCAGATTTTAAGATTTGGTAATTTAGCTCCATCCACATCCACATCCACATAAACATCCACTTCCCCCTCTCCAGCAATTAGACTCATTTCAGTAACGTTTTCATCAGCCAAAGAAAGTCTGACATCTGCTGGCATCTGGCATACGAGTGTCGAGTGTGGAGTGCTTGCATTGCCCAATGTCACAACCGACAATTAACCCAACAGCAAAGATCTTGAGAATGGTTAGAGCAGAAGATTTCACTCATCTGCATCTGGCATAAAGAGAAATTTCCGGCCCGAGATCCATACAACAGAACAGAAAGACAGACAAGTACGAGTACGAGTGCGAGTACGAGTACGAGTATATGTGACCGTCAGTCAGGGTCATTGCAAACAGTTTGCAACCGAAACCGTTTACCAGAACGAACAGGAACCAACAACAGAAACAACAACACACAGAAATTAAACTCTTAGCACATTTGTAGAACAGACTAAACGGGTTCTGTTGGCCAAGGGGGTAAGCTAAATACTGGATGTAATTATGAGAAATACTTGAAAAAGTTTGCCATTGCATTAAGCACATAAGAAGCTGTTATGTCATGCTCCCAAGAGGTGTTGGGTAATGGAGACCTTCTCCAGAGAATACACATACTTGGGGGCATATTTGAAGATCTTTAAACATTTGAGTTTCCTTGAATGTAGGAAAAGTAGGAGAAATTGTAAGTACATAAATACATTAAGTACTCCTAGCTCTGCTCTTGAATTACCATCTCCTAAACAGCTTGAGGCACAGTCTTTGAATAATTGTTAAGCAATTATCTAAAATTATGTTAGCCATTTTATGGGCACCACTTTGTTGTAGTCTGGGGGAAAGGCAAAGTGTTTGCAGCTTACAAATTTGCATGTCTATTCAGAGTTGAGGTCTTACCCATTGCACCCATAACACAATTAGATATTAGAGCTTGTCCGGAAACGGTGCATCAGCGGCATGTGTTCCATTTGGCCAACTGCCAGGCGATGGCCAAGTTTAGCCACATGTGAGGCAGGTGGAAGGAGGAGACTCTAGACTGCAGACTGGACCCCAATGTTGGTGGCTCGCTCGGTGGTTGGTCTTCAAAGCTCTCTGGACGCTGCCTAAAATTGCAACAATGAAGCGAAATTAAACGAAAAGAAAAGAAAATTAAAACGGAAGCTTAGTAGAGCGTGTCCAAAGACAGAGAGCAAACACATGTCTGAGGCTGTCCAACTCGGACTTGGATCACTCTCTGTGGTGGCTTCCTTCGCTGGTTCTCTGTAATTTGCTTTTACACGACGAGAAACCCCAGCCGAAAGTAAACCTGAAAGGGAGAGAGTGTCCCCACTCATTTCACTTCTTCTTTACCTCATTTCAGCCACCATTGGAGCGATACTCGACTCGCGCTGCTACCTGGAGGGCGGCGGTTCGGCGGAGAGCTTCCTGGCCACCGAAGATCTGGCGGTGGGCTCCATCATTGGCAAGCTGCGCATCAATGGCGATCCCAATGCGGAGACAGGCGACATCAGTCTGTCGCTAAGGGAGAAGGTTGCGCCGGTGGAGATTCTGGCAGGCAGCAAGGATCTGGCTCTGTCTGTGGAGCTGGACAAGGAGGGTGTGCGAGGACCCTCTTCGATTTATGTGAATGTTATATGCATAAGGCGACACTCAACGGATCCGGTAAGTGAAAGCGCTGCAATTAGAGTAGGGGAAAAGGTCCTTACAGCCAGAGGAAGTTTAATCTAGAATAATGGCACCCAAGCACTTGACGATCCGCTTAACGTGGCAATTAATCTAGCGCTCAGGCATTCCCACTTCCCCACTTCGCCCCCACTTTGCCAGCCCCTCTTCCCTGGTCAGTGGCCGCAATTTTCCTGAAGTTTTTCCATTTGTGTGAAGCCGCATTCCACACCTGCAAAGGTGGGTTAAGGGGCGCCACCCTTAAATCCTTACGTGCGATGCTCGTAATGGGGCAAACAATTAACCTATATCCTTAGGAGTTACCCCATTCCTCCTGCTAGTGCGTGTTCCTCCTTTCCGTGGGGAGTGGCTCTCCTGTGGCTTGGCTCTTGTTAAATTCGGGAAAACATGTTGGAGTTGCAGCTATTCGCTGGAACTCTATAAACAATTGAAAAGTTTTAGGCCTAGACCAGACGCCCATTTCAATTTTAGAATCAACAACACAATGTTTGGCTCCAACTTGCAAGCCAAGGAGCAGCTACAGGAGCAGGAGCCACCGCCACGTTTGTGTGTAGGGGCCGGGCCTGTGGTTAGCCCCAGGTTGGTGGCCATAAATTAGCCATTAGAGCTTCCGCTCCTCCGTGGTGGGGGCAAGAACTAGGGACGAGGCGTGTGTGTATCGCCGAGCTAAACATGCAAATATATGCAGGCTGGCAGGCAGGCAGGCAGGCAGGACGCTTGGGCTTTGAACTCTCGTGGAGGTCAGTGACCAGCAGTCAGGCGCTCTTAGACCTAGTCCAGTGTTTGCTTTTCCTCAATCCAAAGTCCGTCTTTCCCTTCCCCCCCACACAGAGCTTCGTCATTCCCGTCAATGTGCGCGTGACGGACGTCAATGATAATGCTCCCCAGTGGATTGGCACACCCTACACGCTGACCCTGTCGGAGGTGACGGTCCCTGGAACGAGGATACTGCAGGGCGCCCGTGCGGAGGATGCCGATCAGCCGGGTCCCTTCTCCACGGTGGAGTATCAGGTGCTGCCCGGACCCTATGCGGAGTTTGTGCAGTTCCTCAATCCCCTCGAGGGCACACTGGTGCTGAAGAAGGCGCTGGACTACGAGCAGCTGCAGAATTTCACGGTGAAGCTGCGCGCCCAGGATCAGGGTACGCCCGCGCGCCACTCGGACACGCTGCTGCGCGTGGTGATCACCGATGCGGATGATCAGAATCCCAAGTTCCAGCGGGAATCGTACAGCGCCGAGCTGCCCAATGACGGTCGTCCGGGGGAGCTGCGCATGCGCCCCGAGCCTCTGAAGGCAGTGGATCAGGACGAGGGAATCTGTGCGCCGATCCAGTACACCATTGTCCAGTCGCAGGATGCCAAGTACTTCCGCATTCATCCGCACAACGGACAGATCACCCTGCTGACGCCCATTGGCTATGGGGAGATTGCACACGGAGCCACGCTGGTGGTGAAGGCCACGCAGATAGACAATCCCGATCGCTATGCACTGACCACCGTCCAGCTGACGCGTCCCGGCAGCCACAGCGATCTCAGCACACTCTCCTTTGTCCAGAAGCGTTTCGTGATGCGCATACGCGAGGACACGGCGGTGGGCAATCGCATCCTGGCGCTGCCCACCAATAAGCCGGGCAAACACCTGAAGTACACCATTGCGGATCCCGTCAACTCGCAGTTCTTCAGCGTGGGCTCGCTGGGGGAGCTGGTGCTGGCCAAGCCGCTGGACTACGAGAAGATGACGAAGCACGAGTTCCAGGTGCAGGCCACCGACGGCATGACCAACAGCACAGCGGAGCTGACCCTCGAGGTGATCGATGTCAACGATTGGGAGCCGCGTTTCCGGGAGACCCATTACGAGTTCATGGTGCCCAAAAGCGTGAGTATACTAGTGGAAATCCCTTGGGTAATGGATTGATCAACCAGAAATTATCTTTCAGCAGTCGCTGCAGTCGCGAACGGACACCTTTGAGGGTGTGCTCATTGGCAAGGTGGAGGCGGCTGATGGGGATCGCAATGACAAGCTGGAGCTGTCGCTGCGCGGGCAGCATGCGGGGCTCTTCGAGATCGATGCCACGGGCAACATCTACATGCGGCCGGAGCAGCTTCAGGGCCTGAACGAGTCGACGGTGCATCTGATAGCCATTGCCACGGACACGGGTGTGCCGCCCAGGAGCACCTCCGTGCCGGTGAGCGTCACCATGGAGGGCCTGACGCTCGCGCAGTCCGGCTGGAACAGCAATATGCTGGGCATGTTCGCCATGATCGTGGGCCTCTTCCTGATGATCATCATGGCCCTCAGCTGCTACATTGTGCGCTCCAAGAAGCAGGGCAAGAGCAGCGCCAGCGCCCTGGGCATCGGTCGGAACAGAGTCCACAGCCAGGCGCACAGCAGCGTCTCGTCCGCCAATCTGGTGACGCACGAGAAGCTGGCGGGTAATGGCAACGGGGCCAGCGTGACCAGCGGCGGTGTCTCGGTGCTGCACATGAAGCACGGCGGCAACATCACCATGGCCAATCCCATGAACAACGGTCTGCACCATGTGGCCAGTGGCGCCAGCAGCAGCATGGCTCTGGGCAGCTCTGCCGCACTCCTGGAGCGGGAACGGGAGCGCGAAAGGGAACGCCAGCGGGAGAGCTATGCAGCCACAGTTCGCAGTAAGTTGGAGCCGCATCCGCCCTTCCCCTCCCTCCCAACACTCATCCCGAACATTGACTGTTAATAGTCTTCTTGCCAGGCATCGTGTCGCGCGCCTCGGCCAATGGCCAGCTGTACGAGGAGGATGAGATCGAGCACGACTCGCTGCAGACGTCAACGACGACGCCGGAAAACAACAATCGAAAAGTGGCAGCCCCAGGAGCTCCAGCTGTAGGTGTAGGAGGTGTGACGACCATTACCACCAGCAGCTCTGCGAATGCGGGTGGCCAATCGAATCTGCTGTCTGCCACCGATGCCATGGGCTCCTCTGAGAACAATCTGACGGTCTACTTCTAGAAGCTGAAGGAGGAGTTTGTAAATATTGCTGCTAAGTCAGTTTAGGTTTAGGATTAGGGCACATCCCCCCATCCATCCCCCCAGCACTGTTTATGTACATTGAGTAGACCAAATATAGAGTTGTAAAGAGAACCTCCCGTCCCTGCCCCTGCACACACACACACACACATGTACTTAGGCTAAGTCCAAGCGATTTCCAATGTAAAGTTGTTGCTTCCCAGTAAAGAGAGAGTGCCGCGAGAGAGATCCATACATAAAATACGTTTAAGTAATCTCGATGTCTATAATTCGGAGGCTTAAATTCTACTTTCGATGCGGAACGATCTTTACAACTTTGGCATGGGACGAGGACGAACATAAAAGACGCGCAGGAATCAAATCGGTGGACACAAAATCACTGAAAATTATACACGTAGTGGGGATAGGGGAAATTACAATTGTTAGATAGGAAAATGCTGTCGTTTGTACTCCTTGAATGCGATCGAATCTGTTTCCTACCTGCCATTGCGTTTGGTTTTGCGCTTGAGCAGATTAAAGTCGCCGTATTGGATGTGATTGTCCGTGAGGAATGGCACGTAGAAGGCACGCAGCAGCTTGTGCGACTTCTCGGGTATGAGGAAAGGCAGACTTTTCATGATGGACCAGTCCTTGGTGCGCTTCGAGTAGCTGGGCTCCAGGGCCGTGTACTTGCCCTCATCGAAGTCCACAAGGAAGTCGCAGCGATCGTAGTCAAAGTACATGTGCTCGTTCTCCTGGTTGAGATCATTAAAGTAGGGATGCACCACTTGTGTGGCGTTTGGTCCGTCCGTGTAGTAGGCCGGCAGCATGCCGCGGAACTCGGACTTGAGGAAACGCAATCGGAAGTTGCGGGCCGGGAAGAAGAAGCTGCCAGGGTAGCGATGCCAGTCCTTGCCGATGCACACATTGTAGATCTGGTTCGGATTGTACTGCGGCGTCGCCTTGAACTGATTGAGCTCCAGCATCAGGTCCATGGGTGCATGGTAGTTCCGATACAGCGAGAACACGCGCGACAGCCCCAACAGTGTGCTGGCCACCATCACAATGATGGCAATGAACATGGTGTGGTCGAGGTAGTGTACGTTCGTCTTGATCTTAAATATCAGCATCTTGATACGGAAGAAGATGCGCTGGTACACGTCCACGGTGATGGCGCCGCACAGCGAGATCAGCGGATACACGGGGAACAGGAAACGTTCCTCCTTGTGCGGCTGGGCGAAGAACACGATGAGCCACAGGTACAGTGGCGCCAGCGAGATGTAGTGGGGGAAGTTCAGCGTTGACTTCGACTTGGCGGGCACAACCAGATAGTCCAAGAAGAGCATAATGGGCAGTTGCAGAGCCAGCAGCTAAAAGGACACGCCATGAAGTGGTCTGCAGATGGACATACTCTGGCTTGTCAGACTCACCCAAATGATGTTAAAGTTGAGGAAACCGTTGACAATGTAATAGCTGATGGGTTCAGTGCCGAAAATGTTCGGCCCATGGCTGGTGAAGACGTTGTACCAGACGATGTTCAGCGGCGCAAAGGTCAGCTTGCCAAAGTAGCTCGTATCGATGGCAATCATAGGTATGGCAACCGTCGCACCCGAGATCAGGGACCACTGCACAAAGGTCTTCCAGTCGCGCTGGCGCAGCAGCAGTTCCAGCACCAGCGGCACGCCAATCAGCGCGGCAAACGGCCAACCGAGCAGCGCCGAGATGGCCGTGAAGAAAATGGCTAGGCTGTAGTGTTGCTGCCACCAAGCGGCCAAGGCGGAGCAGCCAAAGTACATGGAGAACGAGGAGGGCAGCAGCGCCGTGCTGGAAACGAACATGCCCACACTGAACAGTTGGAAAATCAACCAAAGGCGTCCAATGTGTATGCCAAACTCCTGACAAATGGATCTGCAAGAAGTTCGAAAAGCATTAGAGACATCCTCGAGAAATGCGACGGCCTACGTACTTGTACATAAACCGCTCCATGACCGCACAGCCAAAGCCCAGCATGCAGCGCACCATGTAAAAGATGAGTATGGGACTGGGATTGAAAATCTTCTGGTAAAAGTAGCCGGGCACGCCCTGCAGCAGCAGATAAGTGTATGAGCGCAGACCGAACTCCGGACTGTACTCCCACGTCTGCAGGCCATGGCCATTGATGATGTAGTGCAGCGGCTCCCAGTAGTTGAACGTCTCGTCGCAGTCGGCAATGTACGCCCAAATGGCGCTGCACAGACGCGCACTCACGAATGTCTTGAATGCCGTGTCCAGTCCGACACTAGGCGTTATGTTACTTGCATTGGTTGCCTCCGGCGCACTGCCCGTTGTTTGCTTTCTGCAAAAAAACATCTTAATTTAATGGAAATTGTATTTGTTTTATTTCCGTACTTACCGCTTTTTTGACTCTTTTTCCTTTTTGCTGCCGGCCGGGGCGGCGTCCTTGTCATTACCGTTGAGACCCAGCCGTTTGGGTGGCTTCTTGGACAGAATCTGGTTGTCTGCCTTGTTGGCAATGTATCGAGCCCTTGCCGAGGGTGGTGCCATTATCTTTCAGCTTAATTGGGAAAAGCCCAGAGTGAAAAATCTAATCAGGAGTTCCAATTGGATATCAAACAGCTGATTAGTGATGGATAACGTAGAACCGGCTTGACGTAAGTGCTGGGTAACAGTTCATTCAGCTTTTATCACTCTTAGAGATGGACAAACCTTGATGTGTGTATAGTCACGCACGAGTAACACATAGGTGATGAATATGAAAAGGTATGAGCTTGAGATCTATCTCAACGAAATTTGGCAGATTATGGATATCGAGAATGTATCTAGAATCTAGATCGATATATACATAAATATGTACATAGAAAAGGTACATTTATACATGTTAATATTAATCAATGGAAATAGGGTATACAAATGATCGGCAATTGATGCTGATCAAGATTATATATTCTTTATGGCGTCGTAAACATTTCCTTCTGTGCCTTACATACATCCACTTTTGTGCACAAACACAATATACCCTATATATGATCCTGTGGTTAGTTACCGAACTTATCAAATATCAAAACTATCGCAAAAACATCAATATATTGATATTTTGGGAAACAAAAATCACGATACAAATATATTTTTATTTTTAAAAAATATCGATATTTTGAAAACATACTTAGAACATAAAATAATGTCGAAAGACGATAAAGATAAAGTACAAATTATTGACAAAGACTTGGATCTTTCCAATGCTGGACGAGGCGTGTGGCTGGTAAAAGTGCCCAAATACATTGCACAGAAATGGGAGAAGGCTCCCTCGAATATGGACGTGGGCAAGCTGCGGATCAGCAAGACGCCGGGACAAAAGGCCCAGGTGTCACTCTCACTCACACCAGCCGTGCTGGCCCTCGATCCGGATGAGAAGATTCCCACTGAGCATGTTCTGGACGTGTCGCAGGTGACGAAGCAAACGTTAGGGGTATTCTCGCACATGGCTCCAGAGGCGGCTGCCAACATTGGCAAGGAGAACTCCACAGCGCCCGGGGCCACGCCGGACAACGAGAAACTGTATATGGAGGGCCGCATAGTCCAGAAGCTGGAGTGCCGCCCCATAGCAGACACATGTTATATGAAGCTGAAGCTGGACTCCATTCGCAAGGCGTCGGAGCCCCAGCGCAGGGTGCAGCCCATCGATAAGATTGTGCAGAACTTCAAACCGGTCAAGGATCATGCTCATAATGTAAATTCGTGCAACATACTGGTGTTTTTATATGTGAAAAATTAAATTTTGGGTATTTGCAGATCGAGTACCGGGAGCGTAAGAAGGCGGAGGGCAAGAAGGCTCGTGACGACAAGAATTCCGTGATGGACATGCTCTTTCATGCCTTCGAGAAGCATCAGTACTACAACATTAAGGATCTGGTCAAGATCACCAATCAACCCATCAGTTATCTGAAGGAGATTCTCAAGGATGTCTGCGACTACAACATGAAAAATCCGCACAAAAACATGTGGGAGCTCAAAAAGGAGTATCGCCACTACAAGACTGAGGAGAAAAAGGACGAGGAGCATAAGTCGGGCAGCAGCGATTCGGAATAAAATTTCATTCCATTTCACACTCGAATCGAATGCCATTTATTCTTTGGTTGTTTGTGCACCGTCGGGGGGTGATCTTTTAGTACATATCCAACAATTTCATTAAAAAAACAAATATTAATATTGTATTGCATCTTTTTCTTTTAATTTCGTTAAAACTAAATATGTGCTTAAGACTAAAAAAAATTTCATTTTTTTTTGTTGTTATTTTGTACATTGTAATAAGATGTTCGGACCTTACGTCAGGTAAAATATCCCATATATATCATGCATTGTTGGGTAATATGTACATGGCTTGTGCCAGGCTTAGCTTATTTACAATTAAAATTTCAGAAGAAAGTTTATATTTTTTTGATACATTTGTACACTACGAGATCAGGTACTTGATGCTAGTACTATCAGCTCACGAATTCCCAAAAAACAGCGATCAAGCCATAAAATAAATCATCTCTGAAATGCTTTAAACGTGCAGTGATGAATGATAATTCAAATGAAATAAGGCAGGTAAAGGATAGTGTAGAATATGAAATGAATAATAATGCATAGCCCGACTCGGCTTTTCATCCTAATCAAGGATTAAAGCCTTAGCAGGGTTTACTAATTAAGGAAATAATAAAAAATGGATGCAATTTAAATAATAACAAATGAAAGAAATCAAATCAATAAAGCAAAGAAAACGTAACAAAAAATTCAGAGTAATTAACGCAAAAAAAACTTAAAATAAAAAAAGCAACCGAAAAGAGGCAAGAATTATTCGAAAAACACTTTCGCGGCGATCTGAACTTGTTCAATGCTTAAGGAAATCGAGCTTAAATAATACTGTTCCAAAAACTGTCGACACATATGGCCTGTACAGCCGCTATAGTCGACAGAGGCTGAAGTTCTTATAAAATTAGAACTTAAAATATAAAATATTTTCACGTGCTCAAAAAAAAAAAAGAAACTAAAATAATGTATGGCTATTGCGGAGCCTCTTAATTTTGGAGTACAGCTGGGAAAAGTGCAGCATTTGCAGACCCTGCGGAGACACAATATAATGTGTTAGAAAATTCGATATGAACACAATAAAACAAACAGAACTGTACAAACTCTACACACACCTACACATAGGGAGACGGACAGTCTACTTAATAAAAGGATAATAGACATTAAAATATTTACGACTGATCAAATTTCTACTAATTCTTCTCCAGCGACATCGTCACGGAGGAAGCCAGTGATGATATGCCGGAGTCGCCATCGTCTGGCGACTGCGATATTTTGGGTATGGCCTTAATTAACCGCACCATTTTTACATGCATTTCGGCTGCCTCTGGACAATCCGTGGATCTTCTTTTTTGTCGTTTCTTATCTGCAGCCACAGGCTTTGGCTTCCCCACATTCCTGCTACCTATGTCATCCTCTGGATGCACTTGCTTTCGCTCCGTACTCTTAAGTTCCATTTTGTACTGGGAAATATCCAATGGCTTGCTTTTATCACGATCTTTATCTTTCAGCACGATATTGCCATCATTCAACTGCAAAAGAATTGTGAAAGTGAATCGTTTGCAGAATAATCTTTAATCTTCAACTAATTACCAATTTCAATGATGCAAAAAAGTGCCGACCCATGGTGGTTTCATCTTTGCCCTGCATCACATCGGCCAATGTAGCACTGCCATTGCCCTGCTGACACGCTTCAATTATTTCAGTGCCCAAATCTGCAAATTTGAAATTCTGCCTCTCGTGAGCCACTTCCAACATGGGCGCTATTCGTATGTGCCAATCCCTGACCTGCAATTCAATTGATTAGTTTGATGGTTTTGAAAGTGTAATCTTAAGGGGCTCCTACCAGTTCGCTGGAGTCTGAGTAACCTCCTTTGTCAATTTGGAACGGATTTTCAACACCCAGGTCACTACCCTCTTGAGTACTATTCGTATTTTCCATCCAGTCCTCCAGGGTGTGCGCTGGGGATGATGATTCGCTTATTGTTAAATTGTCTAAAATTGAGTCAAGTTGTGTGGGATCAAAGCCACTGTCGTCCGTATTGGTTTGATCATTTGCGGGCGGCAACAATGCCGCTGCGTCAAGTTGTATGGCATCTAAGCCACTGTCGTCTGTATTGGTTTGATTCTTAGCATGTAAAGATGCTGCTGTTGTAGCCTCTAAACCACTGTCATTCTCGGTGGTTGATTCATTTGCTGCTTCTGTGTCAAGTTGTGGAGCTTCTAAATCGCTATCACAATTATCCTGCGCTGCTATGTCAGGTTGTGTGGCATCTGCAGGAATTTCGGTTTTCGGCTCGATAATGGCCGATGATGGTCGCGAATCGAGTAATCTGATGTCGTCAACGCCAGAGTCATGGGTGGGTCGCCGAAAGCCAAGGAAATCTATTCGGAAATGGGTTTTATGATTTTGTTAGGAAAACAATTATGGGGGTAAGGCACATACTGTTATCCAAGTCAAACTCCAAGCTTAGCCTCGCTTCTCTGTCTAGGACAGGTTCTCGGATATTTTCCGGGACTGCCGTTTCTTCATCTATCACTTTGCGAGGAGCTCTTGGAGGATTTGGTTTTGCGTCTCTCTTGGGGGGAACACGCTAAAACAAAAAAAAAACATTAGTTATAAACATTGAAATGGATGAGGGGATTTGTACTACTTACAGATTTCTTGAAATTATCGAACTCAACTGGTAGCTTGAATATGATTCTGCGCCTTAAGCGTGCTTCGGAAAGCCCAAAAATGTTTAACTCAAGCGGATGACAGACTTCAATGGGAACTTTTACAACTTCTTCGAAATCGGGCTGGTGTTCCTCTGGTTCTTCTTCTTTAATGCCACCCAGAGCACGCATCTCTTCATCAACGAGCACAGTGACTGTGTCTTTGTTGGGCACACCTGGTAGAATATCCCTGACCCTTACCTTGGGCGACAGCGACTGCATGCGCCGCTCTTCGCTATCTGAAAGTACAACACCTTCGTCGTCAGATGACAGCCCTGCCAAAACAATTTGCAAACCAATTATGCAAATTCGCGGACAATGTCCACAACAACGATACAGAAACGGAAACAATAATGTGAGTAAAATCAACTTCTACAAAAAAAAAGTGGGTTCAAAAAAACTTATCCGTAGTACGCTTAAACTATTGGGTTGGCCATTAGTTTACCTCTTGTCTTGTCGGCAGTGATATGCAGAGCGTTTATTTCAGCGTCCGGAGTGTCCAGGACGCTGGAGTCGTTCATTAGCCTTTCTGGCAGGAGGAGGGTGCTGCATAAAGCAGGTCCTTCCACTCGGCTGGCATTAAGAGTGGCATCCTCAAGTTGACTGCTGTCCAGTGTGGGCATTTCCTGAGTCATTCCAAGACCCGAGTCCACTGAGTTTATCGTTTGCAGCTTTTCCCGCGGGTTCAGCGATTGATTCACTTCCATAGGTTCTGAAGCTTCGATTGCTGACTCTTCTGTCGTCGCGTTGTCTGCCGAATCATCTACTTCCATTGCTTCATCTTCTATTCTCGCGATTTTTGGGGAACTGCCATCTTTCTCCTCCGCATCGACCTTCCTATTTATTGTAGTCTCTAAAGCAGTATCCTCTCTTCTCTTCCTCACTGTGGCACCATAGCGCGAGGCCAGCATTTTGTTTTCCAGGGCAATGTACTCAGTGAGGAACTCGGCCGTGCTCATGTGATCGTTGAGTATTTCCTGACTGACATTGTTCGAAGTAACGTACTCCTTAATCAGATTAAGCCTTTCGAAGGGGATATCTGGCAGGAGCGTGTTGTATCTGTGCTCAACGTGGTACGTAAACAGTTTGTATTGTTTCTTTTCGTCGAGCTCAGAAGTCAGGTGGGGATCCACGATCGGCGCGTTTCTCCACAGATTCGGCGGCGTGTGGTCTTGGTACAGGTACTCGATTGTTCTATTTCTGTTGCACTTTGCCATGCCCGTCGTACTAAAACGTTTTTCTTCCGACATTTTTTTGAACGCACGCGGCTCCAGATTCACCATAAACGGATCTACTGTCTTCTGCGTTAGTTTTTTAACTCGACGCTTTTGCGGTTCTTCCGGCTTGGGTGCGGTACTCTCCTGGCTGTTGAAAGGGAAGGAAAATTTAGATGATTAGCACACCATTGAGGATTGGATAATTGGGAGAAGTAGAAAGAAGGTATCATGATATTTGAGGCGTCGCACCGTCTTCATGTTTCCGTATACTAAGCAGTTTAATATTTGTTGACTTTCAATGCGAGCAACTCGAACCCGAACCGGCTCGCTGATCAAGTAAACAAATCGAAAGAAAGGGGCACAAAAGAAACGCCGATAAGAGGTACGATAACGAAAAAACGCCTTTCGAGACGTTCGCTGAGCACATGGCACCGACTCCCTACACTCCATACACTTCTCTCTTCCAAGCGTTACTCACCCACTGGTCGTCTGCTCACTGGTTTCACGCTGCGCCGATGACATAGACTCGTTTATGTTGTCCGTGGTCTGGCTGATGTACTCCACGCGATCAGCGTAGATCTTGCCGAACGACTGGATGGCACTGCCGCCAGATCCGAGGGCCACACGTCGCGGCACATCCTTGTCCCTCAGGCAATGCCGCAGCAGGTGATTGCCGTACTGGTGCACAGAGAATGGAATGCTATATACAAATAATCTCTTAGAGTTTGTTTATGCTTACATAGTCCGTGGATAGACGGAGGTCCGTGGAGTAGTCCGAGTTCTTACTGACCTCCTCCAGGAGCGTCACCAGTCGGGAGAGCTCTGGCTGCTCCTCATACGCAACGATGCATTTGGCGACATTGGTTGCAGGTCGTTGCTCAGCCACCATCAAGACCTGCTCCCTCTGCCGTGCGGTGGAAGCGGGATCTATGCATACAACCAAAATTTCATTCAGAATTCAGCCATTCAGATGGGCATGTATGGAAATAGCGCTGACTTAATCGGTGCCGATCGTTTGGTTCGTCTTTGGAAACGACCGCAACAGGCCGGCTGCGCAGAAAGTGGCGTCAGATCCACGGGATTGAGCGTGAAACTTACCGGACTCCTCGGGCGGGTTCCCGTCCATTGCTTATGCCACAAAACTGCCTAGTAGTTTGTCTTTTAAGCGATTTTCGCTCTGTGCGCCCATTCTGCGACAGGTTCCGTTGCTATGATTATACACATAAACGCACTGACACATACGAACACTGAGACACGAGGAGGCAGCTTACAAAATGGTGGAAGCACGCATCGCTTTGCATGGGCGTAATGCGAAAACCAAAAACATTACACGAATCACTTATTGTAAGATAATTCCAAATGATTATTTATTAATATTTCCATGCTGTTCGAATGGTGGTTCTGTTTCTTATTTCCCGAATTGGCGCGAATTCAATATTTAGATATATGTATCTAATTTGCTATTTTGTTTTGCTCCAAAGAGTACGGTACGACGAATGAGAGAAGAAGCTGACAGAGAGAGGAATTGGTGGTGAGTGAAGGGTTGCATTTTTGTTTAGTATTTTCCAGTATTTTTAAGACGCACTTTCAGTGTGTACACACCCGCAAGTAACAAGGATTTATGTGGTTGCACAAAACGGCCACACTACAAACGCAACATCAAAACAGAGAAAATCGAATTTTTTTTTTTTAAATAAGATATCCAGAATTGCAGAATGTCGACACAAGAGACCCAAGTATCCAGCCTGCCGATGCCGCCTGAGCGGTACATCAGCAACTACACGGAGGAGAATATACGACGAAATCGCGCTCCACGGCCACCGCCGCCGCCGTCGCAGCACGAAGTTTACAGCATGTTTGGCATCCAATACAACAATGACGAAATGATACGCTCCCTGGAGTCGCAGAATATCAAGCGCCTCATCCCCATACACTTTGACCGTCGCAAGGAGCTGAAGAAGTTAAACCACTCGCTGCTGGTCAATTTTCTGGACCTTATAGACTTCCTCATCCTCAATCCGGACAGTCCGCGGCGAACAGAGAAGGTGAGTTGGATGCATTTGGACTAATCCATGGACTAATCATGCTGAATGCCTGGCAGATAGATGATCTCAGCCTGCTGTTTGTCAATATGCATCATCTGCTGAACGAGTTTCGGCCGCATCAAGCCCGTGAAACGCTGCGCGTAATGATGGAAATGCAGAAGCGGCAGCGTGTGGAGACCGCCACTCGTTTCCAGAAGCACCTCGAGCGTGTGCGTGAAATTGTAAACAGCGCGTTCTCTGCCCTGCCCGTCCTATGCGACGACGATGATAAGGACAATGCCAAAGTCAAGACGGAAGTGGATCCCCTGGAATCGAATGCGGCAGCCAAGAATGATCCAAGCTATCAGCACGATCGCATGATGTGCAAGCTGGTAGATGGCATCGAATGAGAGTGCAGCAGACTGGTCATAGTGAATGACATCTATTATATTTATAGCCCCCCAAATAGCACTCTAAGAATAAACTAGTTTTTTTTTTGTGAAGCGAATCCTTTATGTTATGTGAGTTATTCTCAGCAGTTTCATTCATTCACATCGATTTAAACATGTTTAGTCATTCAAGTGATACGTTTTATGGGAGACAATATCACTGCTCTGTCGTGTGGCGACGTATATCTGGCGATAAGAGATTTTCGGGCAGATTTCACCACCAAAATGACGTAGCTAATGAAACGTAATATGGTTTTTGGCAAGGGATAATCATGGATCTGGTTAATGCCAAGCGAAGTGAACATTATTTGGCAGGGAAACCTCAACCGCCTCTACCTCACAGTAAATATGCGTATCAACAGTACAGCGCGTTTCATTGTCATACGAACATGTTCACAGATCAGTAAAACTGCAGCTTTAGTGCATCTTCATGATGAATGTGTGGTTTGCTACTGTGCCTACAGTTTTCAAAACGCACTGTACTTGTGTCTCCCCTCTATGACAACGTGTTCGCTCGTTCATTCCGTCTAAAGATGATGTATGGAGAACGTCTTATATGTTTATTACCTTCCTTAGCCCGTAGTAATGCCCGTGCGATAAGCAGTGTGTGGATGGATGAATCTTGAGGTTTTTATTGAGACCAATCCCGATAAAAGCAGCTACCTTCACTCAGGCAGATCATTTAGCGTGCAGCATTGCAAGTGGAAGCAACAATTGTCGGAGCCGTGAACTGTGGATCTTTAAGTTATTTGTGATAGTGCTTTTCAATTAAAACCAACATCGAATTAATTGAACAATTGAGAACATTCAAGTGCAAGTTAATAAGAGTAATAAATAAGGATACATATACACGTTGAAGATGTCGGAGAAGAATATAGAAAGTGTGGATCCAGCTAACAGTAAAGGTAACGTGCAGGAAATTCAAAAGGATACATTGAGAAATAGTGACAATAAATCCTTGAATATACATATTCAAGATTCATCAAGGATCAAAGAACTTAAGTGCTTAAAAATACAAAATTTGTGAAGAAGAACAAATGAAATCTTAAGAGAATTTCGCAAGTGTGTGCAAAATGCTAGAAAAGGATTACAACACTCTTACAACTTTAATTCCTCTAAAATTGGTCAGAACTACGAACTTTATTCTGCGCCTAGCTCTCTGTCCGGTCTTCTCTTATCAAAGACCTTGTTTTATCTAAAATAATGTAGAGATTAGACATAGCAGTTCCTTGAACCATAAAACGAGTGACACAAGTGCAACTATATAGAAAACCCTACCTAAATCTTTTGGTTTACCCTACAGAACCCGAAGATGACAACGATTTGGATGCTAATTCAAACAGTACGGCGGAGGCGGAGGCGGATGCGGGGGCACCCAAAGAGGATGCACCTGCGGACTTTGACAAGGCCATCGACGCGGCTGGCTTTGGCATCTTCAATCTGATCCTACTCTTCGTTTCGATACCCGCGCAGAGTGCTGCCATTTTTGAGTCGAGTTCCATGTCATTTATCCTGCCGGTGGCCGAGTGCGATCTGCGTTTGACGCTCGAGGACAAGGGTGTCCTGAACGCGGTGGCCTATGCGGGCATGACCATATCGGCCATTGCCTGGGGCTATCTGGCCGACACCAAGGGACGCAAAAAGATCCTCTACTGGGGCTACCTGATCGATGCCGTTTGTGTCTTTGGCAGCGCCCTCAGTCAAAACTTTATGATGCTGGTCGTGTTCAAGTTTCTCGGTGGATTGGTGTAAGTTTTACGATACCCTAAGGGTCTTCTTTATGGCTTCTATCTTTGTCTTGTTGTAGTGTTAATGGTCCTGCAGCTGTGCTGTTTACCTACCTGACGGAGATGCATGGACCGAAGCACAGATCCTCGGTGCTCTTGATTGTGGGCATGGTGACATCTACGGCCACAATTTCGCTGCCTCTCCTGGCCTGGGGCATCTTTCCCAGGGATTGGGACTTTGAAGTTGTGGGTCTAACGAGTGAGTTTCAGCGTCGGAGGGTGTAGCCTTAGTACTTAGTACTTACTTTATTTTGTTTTACAGTTCACAGCTGGCAAATCTATTTGTTTGTCTTGGGTATCCCCAGTCTGGTGAGCGGTTTGATTTTCTGCGCCATGCCCGAGAGTCCACGTTTTCTTATGGCCCAGGGCCGCACGGAGGAGGCTCTGCAGGCCTTCCAGCACATCTACCATGTGAATACCCGCAAACCCAAGGATACCTATCCAGTGAGTAGCTTCGAACCACCAGAGAAAGACAAATTCTAACTGCTTTTCCCAGATCAAGCTGCTCGTGCAGGAGGTGCCCAATCGCAAGGCCAACCGGGACGAGGTCATCTACACCATTGAGGAGAAAACGGGCGAAAAAGTGCCGCAGAAGACGCAGTCGCGCACGCTGATGGAGAGCCTGCGCTCGGGTTTGGCTCAGATGAAGCCACTGGCACACAAGCCCTTGCTGCGCCTCTCCCTCCTGCTGTACATCATGCAATTTGGCATCTTCTTGGGCATGAACACAATCCGTTTGTGGCTGCCACAGCTGTTTGCCTCCATGGCGCAGTACGAGGCAGAGTTTGATGGCGCCACCGCCAGCCTGTGCACCGTGCTCGAATTTAGCGTCAATAAAACAGCTGAGACTGCCTTAGATTATGCCAATGCGTGTTCCGAGGTAAGAACTATCTTTCCATTTATTATATCTTCTAACTAGATAAGTCAGATAAGTCTTATCTGTCAGTTAACTTTCCGTCTAATCATGCTGAGAGTGACGTAAACCTACCTTTCTTTATCCCACTCTCCTCTTAACTCTGTTTTCTGATCTGCCTCGCAGCCCAAGGAGATTTCCATGGATATGTACACAAACAACATCATCGTCTCGGCCTGTGGCTTTTTGGGCTACTTCTTTGCGGGTGGCATTGTGAAGGCATTGGGACCCAAGCGTTTGATGAGTAAGTAGCCTCTCGCATTTCCACCCATTAATCTTTATATTAATTTCCATGATTTACTTTCCACAGCCTATGGTTTGTATATTTCGGGCACCTTTGGCCTGTTGCTTTACTTCTCCGTCAGCAGTTTGATGACTCTCACAGTCTCTGCCTTATTTCTGACCATCACGGGCATTGCAGTCTCCTCTCTTTTGGGTGCTGTCGTGGCTCTGTTCCCCACACAACTAAGGTGAGTGATAGCTCTCCCTCTCCCTTTCCTTCTCTCTATTATCTCCTATTTACATCTTTTTGCCTTTCAGAACTGTCGTCGTTGCCATTTCCATGATGTGTGGACGCTTTGGCGCCTTGTCGGGTAATCTACTCTTTCCTGTCTTCGTTCAGATCGGTTGTTTGCCTCCATTCATAATGGTATCATCCGTGCTTCTGTGTAAGTATAACAATTCTGCATTTCTTATTAGAGTTCTTTTATTTAATGTTTTTATTATCTTTTATTCTTTTAGTGGCTGCCACACTCTCTATATTTGTACCCAACCCAGCAAAGGCAACCTTTTCTTAAGACACTTCGCTTGAAATTTCTCACCCATAAAATGGAGCAACTTCCACTGAACTGTAGTATTAGATTATGTAAAAGCTTAGGAACATTTAGTTGTACGAACTAGCACTTATTGGGGGCTAAAGATAATTGTTTATAACTATTTATATTTAGATTAGGAAAATCCATTTAAATATATGTAATCGTTCGTATTATTCGTATCAATCGTTATTATTTAAAAAATGCAGCGTTAAATGTTCGGAGCTGCAACCGCTAATGGGGCTACAGCGCTCTTAACAGCGCAAAGTAACAGGGACAATAGTAACAAAGCGCATCGTAACAGAGTCAAGTGTAACAGAGCGTTATCCATTAACAGACTGTAGCTCAGCCAACTGCAGCTCGGTTAGCGCTGTTAGCGAGAAGAGCGAAGAAAAGAGAAGAGAAGAGCTATGCGGACAAGAGCTTTCATGTCTGTGGGCTACAGCTTCGATCGGACTGGGGGCAGAATGAGAGAGACATAGCTGAAAAGCTTCAAAGCACGGCAGCGATACTATGCACTTAAAGCTATAAACCAAACTGTATAAACCGCACCGTCTACGTATTAGTACTTCTATTTTCCTGTTGCTTATCTATGCAGTCTGATGGCCGCGCAATCCCTCCTGCTACAAGCACAGCACTCAGTGAAATGTTTGGCTAAAGGTTATGCCGCTGGTTGAGCAAGGACAAAGGTTTACTTACGACTTCCTTCGACATGCAAATCTCATTAACACCAATTAAGTGGCAGCAGTGTGGGCAGAGAGGCATGGTGTGGAGTGCCAGTCAGGTGCGTGTGTGTCTCAGAAGTTCCGGAGCTCTATCACTGGATAAACATCAAGTGGAAAGGAAATTAGTGATGCCTGAATTGTCTAATCCGACTCTGGTGCTCCCTAAGTGGCAGCGATTTATTGGATTGCATGCTCCATTGAGTCGTCTAGAAGCTGTTGAACTTTCATGGGAGCTCGAGTGATTTCTCACACACTGTCCTTCCATTAGTTATCAAAATTTACACACACAGATCTTTCACATTTACATACATCGAATATTTGTTGGATATTTCTTGCATATTTGATGGGTGATATCAAAAAGAACTCTGAGGAGGCAGCAGCTGACTTTGAGACGGCCATTGCGGAGTGCGGCTTTGGGCTCTTCAATATCCTCATGATGTGCTGTGCCGCGCCCTGCCTCATGGCCATGGTGTTCTCTGCCTCGGCCATGTCCTATGTGATGCCCACCGCCGAATGCGATCTGCAGTTGACGCCCTTCGACAAGGGTCTGCTCAATGCCGTGACCTATGGCGGTATGATCATGGGCGCCATACCCTGGGGCTTCATAGCCGACACCATGGGCCGCCGTCCGGTGCTCATTTGGGGCGGATGGATCGATGGCATCTTTGTGCTATGCGCCGCCCTCTGTCAGGACTCGACACAGCTGATGGTGTTTAAGTTTTTGGATGGCCTAATGTACATGAAACATTAATCGACTGCCAGTTGAGACTCGCCTCGCTAATGAGTTTTCTCTTTTGCAGCATTTGCGGCCCATTTGCGGTGGTCGTCAGCTATTTGGCGGAATTCCATGGCAAAAAGCATCGCCCCTACGTCATGCTATTTGTGGGTCTCTGCGTTTCCGCTGGTGCCACCTGTGTGCCGATTCTGGCCTACCTATTGCTGCCCGTGCATATACTTTTCTCCGTGGGCAAAATGAATTGTGGGTACAAGTCGCTGTCTGCCTAAAACTCTCACTAACTTCGCTCGTTTCTCTGGCAGTTCATACCTGGCAAATTTTCTTGCTGGTCACAGCGTTGCCCATTTTATTAAGCGGCTTTCTGCACATCTTTCTGCCCGAAAGTCCCAAGTTTCTGATGGCTCAGGGCCAGTACAACAAGGCACTGGAATCCCTACAGCGAATATACGCCGTAAACAAGCGCAAGACGCGCGATTCGTATTCTGTAAGTATCCTCTAAGACTTCGAAAATCCTTTGAAAGCATTGTACCCACAGGTGAAACATCTCACCGATGCCACGCCCGATCGCTCAAATGCCCCGGATCGCCCGCCACAACAACGCTTCACTCAAGCAAAACTGAAATTCCTGGAGGGCGTGGGACAACTCAGACCGATGTTCTCCAAGCCTTATTTGTGCATTTCGCTGCAGGTCTACTGCCTGCACTTTTGCCAAATAATGTGCGTGAGTTCGGTGCGGCTGTGGCTGCCACAGATCTTTGCCACCATGCACACTTTCGAGCTGCAGGGCATCAACGATACGAGCATGTGCAACGTCCTAGACCACAACTCGCAGGTGCGCAGCATGGACTCGGAATCGATGCGGCAGGAGTGCGACCTAGTAGGTAGGAATCGCTTTGCCATCCAGGCGGCCCGGCCTTTAAATCTAAATCTTTCATTTCCCCCCGCATGACTAGCACATGGATCCGGGCATCTACAAGGATAACATCATTGTGGCAGCCGTAGGTGTTTTTGGATTTCTGATGATTTTTCCGCTGATGCGCATACCCCTGGTGGCCAATCATATATTGAGTGAGTTATGAACAAAGTTTCCTGTGAGCACTCTCTAAGTTCCTTTTGCTGGCAGAAGTATTCCTCTTTGTGTGCGTCTTCCTGGCTGGTGGCTTATACTTTGCCAAATCCGCGCTGGTCACAATGATAATTGCCTCGGTGTATGTCACAATGATGGGTGTCTGTGCAACAATTATTATTGGCATGTCTGTGGTCATGTTTCCCACACTAATGAGGTGTGTATAGCTCTATCTATCTAGCTCTATAACGATGTTTTAGCTGTAAATTATATTTGCCCTTCTGCACCCCACAGAACAATGGTTCTCATGCTGATTATGACCTTTGGGCGACTCGGTTCGGTGGCTGGCAATATCTTGTTGCCGGTTTTCATGCAAATCAGCTGCCATGCCCCATTCCTCTGGCTGATGGCACTCATGAGCAGTGAGTTTTAGTCTTTAATAATCCATCTATAGATCTAATATCCTCCCCATTGAACATTCAACAGTTGCGTTTATATTTTCGGTCTTTCTGAAGGTCGATGTGCAGCAACCGCTGGCCTGAGGCTCACGCAGAGAAAACTTCTGGTTTTGCTGTTAATAAATGAGGAATTTTACTCTAACTTTGTCTTAACTAAAGGTCAAAGTTGGAGTCAGTGCAGGGGGTATGCGAAATGTGTATTAATCAACGCTATCGATGCTGGTCACTGGCCTGTGGTCTCTGGTTTATCCTGGCATGCGGTTAATTCAACTTAATTACACTTTAATCACGTGCAGACAGCCACTGAAAATGGCTTTGATTAATTTTAGCTGCTGTCTGTAAGGAAAAACAAACTCTCTCCATGTGTGTGTTTCTGTGTATCTGGTTAATTATTCTTTTGCGGTCATCAATTAATTTGCCCAATGCAAAGAAAATACGCGCTTCATTGCATGGCAAAAAAGGTTTCCCTTTTTGAATGCGAATATTTCTTGATATATGATACACGTACCCCTCTCAGGATTTGATTTTCCGCGCTTCTTTTCACATTCCACCTGTCATTTGATACTCCTCCCATTTTCTGTTTTTTTGGGCTACACAACTCTTACGCCCCTCTGGACAGTCTTTGGCGGTGGCAAACCCCATTTCTCATGCTGTCAAAACAAAGTTAAAACAAAGCCAAGCTGCGATAATTGACACATGTTGCCCTTGGGGGTGTGCTCTACACTTTCTCCTGTTTTCTATTTCCCGTCTGTGGACTCTCTTTTTTATTCATAGTTTTATCCCACACCCCCAAGCAGACATCTCTTTAAGGTCGACCACTCGACATAAAATTTGACTAAAAGTCTGCTTAATGCATAAATCTTTTACCAACACAATTTTTGTCCACAATTCGCTGGATTTTTAGGGCTTCTTTCTATTTGGGGTGCCGCTGCTGCCACTCTATAAAAACCGACCCAGAAGCAACAGCAAATGCGCATAAATTTATCATAATAAACATGCATAAATCGCCGTGAATATGCCGTATAAAAACCACTGAAAATCCCCCATCCTGACCCCCACCACATCAACAAATGTGCACAAATATTTTTAGGGCGTAATGGGCGTAGTACTAGCTCGCTGAAAGGGGGGCGGGGCTAGAGAGTCATAAACTAAACGAAACTGAATCGTAAAAAAAACCCAAACATGGCAATGCACATAATACGTGCGAGTGGGTGGGTGTGTGGGTGTTCTGGATCAACGTGGTACTCCCAGTTACATGTGTATCTAACGCTCTGTGAAGACCCTTCGGGTAGGTTACAATGACACCCACCAACCATCCACCCTATGTCCAGTCATAATCACACAATTCACGCAAATATTACGCTGTATGGGTTACAGGGGAGGAGGGGGGGATGTCAGAGAGTCAGACGTACAACATATGCAGACATTAGCAAACAAACAAAATACAACAAACAAAATTCTAAGAGGGAAGTAAAGGATGGGATGCTTCTAGGGGATAGCCTGTATTTTTGTGAATATTGTGGGGTGCAGAATTAAAACTCAATGATTTAATGGGTGGAAAATATAATAGGGTATGCGTGGGGTAAGCATTAAGAGCACTTGCTGCAGATGTAAGCACATGAATCAATATAATATTCATTATCAAATTCTTGACTCATTATTCAATCCTTAAAGCTTCCTTGTCGCTAACATCAATATACCCCTCTCTTAGCTAATACTTAGCACAGGGTATAATAACCACACACAGACACACACATGGAGCATACATCATTGAAATCCTTCACGTTCTCAGACCTTGAAGTGGCCATTGTTCGCGTGTGTCTCGTGTCCTCTGGCACTCATTTACAGGTCATTCATCAAAGCACCACAGCGCTTCAAATTTATTTGGAGGAAACCCACAAAAAAGCGACAAAGGCGTAAGCGTAACAAGTAACAGTAAAGTAAAAGAAGTTACAGCAAAGGGATAATCGAGCTAGCTAACCCTAGATGCTGGATTCCATGATTTATTTACTTTTATAGCAGAAGTCAGCCATAGATCTGGAATTGAAGGAGCAGCCAGGAATGTTAAGTACCAGCAGGTAGGAGACAGAGAGAGCGTCCCGTAATATACTACAAATATTTAATGCTAGCATTCGGATATTCCATTTGTTACTCCATGAATGAACCATCTTAGTAGGCTCCTCGAACAAGTTGTTCTGTTAGGTTGCCATAAAACCTACAGCAACATGTTGCCCAAGGAGTAATGTTGCATCAACAGGTTGCATGTTGCGCGGCTTTAAGTGCGTGGTCTTGCCACTAACTGTGGCAGTGTGGCACAGACGTACATTTCCAAGCCTGTCAGTCGGCAGCGGCACTTGCAGAAGAGCGCGCGCACCAAACATAAAACTGTAAACAAGCGACGCCATTTGAAAGCTAACGTGCGAAGCTCTAACGGTTTATACCTCACATTATGTGCGTCCCGCGTGTCTGTGTGTGTGAACGCACAATAAGCGCCAATACGCGCAGCTGATGGCCATACAAAAGGCCAACAAATTGGCAAAGTGCCGCATAAAAAGTGCAGTAAATCAAACAAAAAATCAAAAAAACAAAATAAATAAAATCCCAACAAAAGATGAGGGTGAAAATAGCAAATGCAAACAACAGATTTTAATCAGCATAAAGTGATGAAAAATCAACATTGAAAAAATGAGGAAGAGGTGTTGACAACTTACAGCAAAAAAAAGATTTAATGTGCAAGATAAACATTGAAAAATAAATGTACTTTTAATTAAATGAAAGTGATCGAAATTTGGATTAAAAATCGAGGGCATTAACGAAATTTAACTGATGTTAATATGATGACATATTAATTCAAGTGATTTCCCAGGAAAAAGCTAAAAGAAATACAATAATAAAAATGAATAAATGTTAAATAATTAATAAACAGAAAGAATATGATCAGTGTTTAACTACTTATTAAATGAAGCTGAAATCAATGCATAAATTTAAATCAACTTAAATGTGAAAATAAATTTGTGTTGAGAAATATTTTCTGTGTATTTTAAAACTGTTTGAAACAGAAATGGTGTTAGTGAAATTTATTATAAGACCTAATTATAGCCCCCTGCTGAAAAATGTTTTAAAGTTTAACATTCATTCAGTGTAAAATATTTTCTGGCACACTTAAAATTCAATGTGTAGTGCGTATACGTAATCTCCTAATTGAATATCATTTCCCACGACGCAATGGCGTCGCTGTGCCTGTGCATCGTGCGACGCCCCTCAAATTAAGCGCCGCCCCCAAGCCACTGATGAGGAACAGCAGGGCTGCCGCGTGCAACGGGCAACAGTTAAGAATCCATTGAAAGACCTCCCACAAAAGAGGATCCAAAGAGTAAGGACACAAAGAGAGAGCGAGAGAAAGAAGCAACAGCGCCTGAAAGGTCAACTTGTGGCGCCACTGCAGCAGTAATTAAGGTGCAATGTGCCATGTCTCCAGGCCACCAAAAGGTTTATATGACATTGAGTGTGCAATAAGTTGGCCAGGGGATCAGCTTACGCATTTCCATTCACACACGTGAGACCGAGGAGAGTCCTTGCGCAACAGAGACAGTTACAGTTACAGTCGCAGTCCTTGTGGTTGAATCCCCGAAAGATGTCAGAAATTGTGGATACGGAGCTGCTGGTGAACTGCACCATTCTAGCGGTGCGTCGCTTCGAGCTGAACAGCATCGTGAATACAACGCAACTGAATAGCTACAATCGCACAGAGGTGGTCAGCCTGCTGGCAGGATTCATCGAGAATCGGGACAATCTCGAGAGCATCGACGAGGCAAAGTGAGTGTGGCAAAAGTTCGCAAGTCTTTTCATTATCCCCGGTATTGCTCCCTGCTGGCAAACGACACCGAAGTTATGCAAAATGAAACGAAAGAGTTAAATGCGAGGCAGGGGGGGTGGTGATAATTTGAGGCAAGCGCCGCAAATTGAATAAAGTTTTTCCCGCGATAGACTGAGAGACAACTGGGAGACAGACACCGGGAGACTGTGTGTGGCAGTGCTTGGCTGACACCTTTTGCTGGATTTACGTTACCAACGTAACGTGTTCTATCAGCTTATCAGAATAAAGAACACACCAAAAAGGCAGCTAAGACTAGAGAGCTATTTGCACTAGATTATAGGGTACTTGGAGTTTGAAATAATGGGTTTGTTTAGGTTGGAATTCTATTAGTTTTTATGTGGCAGAAAGCACCAACTGCCAACCCCTTAGAAACCTTATTTATTAAGCTGCAAATTCACACAGTTTCTGTCGTAATCTCATTACCAAAAATACATCAAAATACTTTGCCAGAGACACTTATGCCTCAACTTGAAGCAATGAAAATTGCAATTATAATTGATATTTTCCAGATGTGTTTGCTTGTCACAGAGACTGCTGCCACGTTAAGCTCAAATAATCCCACATTTGCCACTCAGTAAGGTTGCTTTTCCAACCGCATTCAAATGTGAATTGCTGAACCATACATTTTGTTCCGAATGCATTCGAAATCGAACAGCAGCGCAGCTCCTACAAAGACAGACAAATAGCAGGATGACAGGGTGGCAGGATGGTAAAAATCTTTGTGTTGTGTTGAACCTTCGCAAAATATCTTTTAATCGTTGTAATTATTTTGGGCTGACCAAGAACTTAAACCCTTTCAAATCATAAATAATTCCCTGCTAACGAGAATAAGCTGCAAAAAGTCAAATTAATGAGTTGTCTGTAAAATAACTCAAAAGATGTCCAGGGATAAAATCAATGGGGGTTTTTCCTTAAGACATTCCACTTGCCATTCAAACAATTTTATCCGCATGGCAGGGATCGTTGTTGTTTTTTTGTTGAGCCTGGTTAATTCGGTTCTTTGTTTTTCAATCACATTCGAATGGGGACTCTCCATCGCTGGCAGTTGATTTTCTGACAGGAGCAAGAGGAGCATCCTTGGCGAAAATTCATCTATTTTCCCCATCAAGAGGAAATTAAATGTTGTTTTCCCGTTCCCAATGAAGGGTGTGCATTGCTCTCGACAGTCAATGATTGCAATTAGCAGAACGTGAGTTTTAAACGTTGAACTTTTTCGACATAAGAAATTCCCGACTGCAGTTACGAGTGGGAGTACGAGTCGCATCCATGGTTGAATTTTGACAGCTTTTCTGCAACTCTACCAATCAAAATTTTCCCTCTTTGTTTTGAGTTCTTCATTTGCTGGCACAGATAGACAGACATTTGGTTATGGGTTTCGATTACAAAGGCCTTGCAATTAGCAAACGTTTTCCCTTCACTTACATCAACTTTGCTGGCACTTCAAGTGTGATATGTGCTCCTTTTTCACTATCCATTTCCATGAAAAGATGCCTGGGAACACAAAGGCTGCCAATTAGAAGAGTCTTTAGGCTTTGGCCTAAATAAAGCCCTTTTTGGATCATGTTTCCATTGAAATATATTCAGCAATTATGTAAACTATTATTCGTCTATCTATCGTCACTTTTCTCTGGTTTTCATTGTCCAACTTTTCTTTGAAATGCGTTTGATCTTTTTGGGTCACACATATTTGAGTTTGCATTCTTAAATGCTCATCCTTTACTGCTCTTCCAACCTTAAAGCCTCTCTGCCATTCTTCACTGAATTCTCAACTATTTTTATGCACTATAATTATTCTTTTTCAATCGACTAACAACAAAGGGAAACCAATAAGCTGTTGGGGCTTTAGGGGCAAATTCCACTAATTGTTTTACTCCCATCTAAGCGCCCACATCCTCTGAAAAGGTGACACAAAAAAAAGGGAATAAGAAAAACCGTGCCAGAGAGAGCCTCACAAATAATTAAATTCCGACAAATGCAAAGCCTTCCCACACCCAAAAAAGAACTTTGACAGAAACAGAAAATATCATTGGAAGTTGTTGTTCGAAAAGCCTCGAGGATTGGGAAAGTGAAGGGGAGTAAGGACTTATAGAAAAAGGACATTTGTTTATTCAGGCAGTTCGGGCAGCAGGTGAATGGCTGGGACTGGGCGCTTGTCTTTCGGTTAAGCTCATTATGTGCCGCATGCCCCATGCCCCATTCGCCATGACTTGAAGTTGCTTCAATCAGTGCCAAGCGTCTTGGACACGGCCCATGGATTATGTATGGAAAGAACAGCTTGACAGCAGCAGCAGCAGCTACACACACACTTACACACTTTTCCTTGAGTCTCTCTGTTCGTGAGTGGCTGTCAGTGCTGGGTTTCATGGCCAAGCTCATGAGGCGTATACGCACTGATGCCCTTATCCACAATGCGTATACGCTATATGGCATGCCAGCAACAGCAGCAACAGCACTCGACGACATGAAAAAGTTTATTACAAAGTCGATTTAAAGAAGAGGTTTTGAGCCCCTTTTTGAATTTGATGCTTATGTCATTTCATACGCTTATTGATTCCGATGCGCAGCCAATGATAGAGAAGGAACAAAGGACAAGGGACATTAGTCCACATCCTTAGTTGTCTTCCATTCCTCCTCCTTTCTTATTCCCACTGTTGCTGTTGTGTGGGCGAGCGGTGGGGCTTTGGCATTTTTATGGCAAGGCTCAAATCCAATCAGAATGGATGGCACACATAAAAATAAGAGTGGCTGCGGCACAACGACTAGGGAATGCACTCAAAGGATGTACAAGGAGTTATAAATTTATAGTTCCAATTTTAAAGTACTCTTTGGCAATCGCTTAGCTATAAATTTCACTGAAAACGGCAGGCTATGGCCGATCCATAGTTGCTTTATCAGCTCTTTATGCTTTGACTTGCACTGACTCCAATGCCTGACACAAGGCAATATGCCCCATGGGGGAAATGTTTCGAGTCTTGCATCGAAAGAAATTGTTTGGATTAGGCACTCTGGACAGCAGAGTCAGAAGGATGACGCGGATGAGTTTGCTTCATGGATATGACTCGAGGTTGAGGCTGCCACTGAAGTGGGGATATCATGGATTTTGTCTATAATAATGTACGCTCTGTCCTGTTTTTTTCTTGGAAAATTGGCAGTGGCAATGTTTCAGGTTAGCAATTTGCATATGACAAATTTTTCAATTAACTTTTTCACCGAGAAACCG